TTAAATTTTAAAAATATTAATTAAAAAATAATATTTTTAAAGTGGAAATTTTAATTTTTTTTTATATGAAAGTCATAATTAATATGCACTGTTCTTGTACAATTATTAATTTGTGAATAAATATTGAGAATGCCCTATTTACTTCTTAATGATGAATTGTATAAGAATGATAAATGGAATACAGATTTAAGATCCAAATTTGATATCAATAATGCGATTTATATCATATTATTAAAAATATTAAAAAGTATATTTTATATTATTTAATAATTAATTTTTAAATTTTTAAAAAATTATAATATTATATATATTAATTAATTTAATAATATAACATACAACCACATCACTGATAGCAAATTCTTATTCAAAATTATTGTACTCTCAATTACTCATTGTGTAATGGAAAAAAACCTGTTATTACCTAATGCCTGATTACCTTGATAAATGTGAGATTCATAGATTCATCCAAGTTCCTCGATGAACTATTAGTGAAGTCTATGAATTCTATTATTTTAAAATAATAATGCAAAAATAGAAATAATATTTTAAAATTTTTTTGATAGAATATTTTAAAATTATTAATTATTATGAGAGTAAAGTAGTTAACCTTGGTTGCATTGCCCACTCCCCTAACCCATTGCAATTGTTTCAAACAATAAAATACAAAATTTGAAGTGTGCCTTATATTATTTTGGGCTGTGACAACAACATACCTTTTGTTTTGTTTTGTTTTTTTTTTTTTAATTTTCAGTAACGTGTCTTCAAATTTATTTATATATACTCTAAGATTAATTTTTTCTTAAATAATGTTAAAGATACGCTTCACTTTGACAAAATACATTAAGAAGATTAGTTTCTAAGTGCTAATTTTAAAAATTAAACCATAAACTTAACTTATAAGACAATAATTATTTGTATTAGAATGAAATACAAACCTAGTTGCAAACTTGTAATGAGTGGTTATGACCAGATTCCAAATGTTAAGACCACACATATGATGTTTAATTTAATTGATATTTTATTAATTTATACTATATGCATTTAATTTTTCTAGGTTTAGTTTTTTTTTATCCAATAAAATAGGGATGCAATAATTTATCAATAAAATTTTATATTTATTGATAATTAATTATTA